CAAACACAAGCATTTATATATATATTCTTTGAAATACCAACACACATATATTTACACTCATGCACGTCTATTTTTTAAAAATGGGTTTTTATGGAAAATACTTATCTGAAAATAATTTTTTCTTCTATTTTTCACTTACTGACATATCTTGGCACCCTTTCTTAGTATACATCATCTGAAGTTTTTTTGTGGTGATTTTTTTGTGCATAAAAACACCACACTGTCTACACTGACATTCTCTTTTCTTTAGACTGCAGACCCATCAGAAGGCAGAAATGAAGCCTTGTAACCTATAACCTGTGCCCAGCACACGGCTTCTCCCTACAGATCCCAAGCCCCTGAAGACACCCGCCTTAGCACAGCAATCCCCTCCTTCTCTTCCGGCTCCCTCTTCTCCTGTCACCCCTTCCTATGAAGACCCACCGTGGCCCCACTCTCTCCCTCCTCCGCCCACTCACAGCTCTTACTTCCTCGACCTCTCTCTGGGGCTCACCCCAACTTGTTACCTTGGGTAATATGCTATTTTTCATGAGCGCACTCTGGGTCTCCCTAACAGACTCTCAGTTATCTGTGACCAGGAAAGACTAGCGGTGGTTTGCATATTTAGGTAGCACAGAGACTTTCTGATGGAAGCACATCTTTTGGTAGTATGCTTTTGACCAATGACACTAGTTTCAAATCTTTTTGGCTGGAGTGTTTTACGGGGCTGGGTAGCTGTTCAGGGGTTAGAGGATGCGTCTGCTTTGGAGGCACGGCTGATTCTGAAGGATAAAAGGCTCAGGACTAGCTTCGAGGCAGGGGGAGCAGTGTGTTGGCTGCATGTGATTTTCCCTGGGTCTAAAAGAGAGGTTGTTTCCCTCCCCAAAGTGGTTCAATCCAGCTTATCAGCATAAGAAAAGAAGAAGATATTTTGGCCAGGAACTCTTTTTAGGAATGAAGATCCACTTGGAAGATCCTTCATGTTGTGTCTCTGGTGAATGGGGATGAGGCAGAGAGGTGCAGGAGAAGAAAGCAGCACTACCCTCTTCATTTTTGGAAGAGGAATCTCCCAACAGTACCTAATTCAGCCTCCTAATACAGGAACCCAAATCACTCACCACTGGTTAATTCAGTATAACACCAGGCATGCCATCATGGATGCTTAATAGAGTTACGACCATCCTCAAAACGGAGCCAATCTCAAATCCTATATTAAAAAAATTCCTCCTTTGCTCAGTAACAAACGTTACTTCTCCTCTGGACCAGTTCCCAGAGGCCCATTTCAATTTTCATCTTTAATGCAGCTGTCTTATCACATTGCCTCTTCTCTGCAGTACGAGACTGAAAAACGGTCACACATCTTAAAGATGTTTTCAAATCCTCTTCTCTTGAAGGTACACACACAATTATATTATGCTACCGTGAGAGCAATAGGTAACAAACTTTCTAGAACCAATGGTTCAGCTTTTTGGATTTCAAAAAATATTGCACTTCATTTTCCCAAAATGTGGAGATGGTTTCTTTAGGGCACGGAGGGAGAAGACTTTTTTTCTGTGGGTGTGATGGGAAAAGCACCAGGCAAGACACGAGGATTCTTAGGTTCAAGTCCTGGGTCTGCTGCTAATTAACATGTGACCTTAATTTGGGGACAGAGTTCATTCCTTTTAAAATGATGGTAGGTGGCTGCAGATTTGGGAGAGGACAGATTGGTTTTTCATCTCTTTCCACATGGTTCCTGGCTCTGCCTGTAATGTCCCCTGACTTCCTCTTCCCTTCCTGGCTAGTGGCCGCCAGAACTATGAACTCCAAGGAGCACCTACCAACTGGGGTCTCTGCTCTAATGCCTTTGGAGGCAGCTAACACTCTTAGTAAGGCTGGAAGAATATCCTCTTGTCCCTGGAAAGCCATGGCCTTTCATTCTGGACATCTGCCGGGTCCACTTCAGAGCAATCCATCCAGTCTGACATGGGTATTTTATGGGTTTTCGGTGTGGCTTCTGTCTATGTTCCCTCTCTTTCCTCTTGGATCTGACATCAGAGGCAAGTGACTGCAGAGACCATCTGTTTTAACCAACTAAGAACACAAAGATGGTTGGAAGCCCCTGGTTCAATTCTTACTGCTGTAGAACTGCTGCAAAAATGTGAGCACATCCTTAGCATCTCAGAGCTGACTGACCTAACAAAATGATAACAAAATATTTCCTGCATGGAAGGCCTGAGAATTACAACCAACAATCACTATCTTCTTAGAAATCATTTAATTTTCCTTAGGGCTAATGTGTTTCTCTATTTCTCCCTGCTCTACTTCATACCTGAAATGTTTTACAGGATGACGAAAGGTCTTTACATAACTGAATAAAAGAGATTCAAGAAGCATAGAAAAATACCAACAATGGATGACACACACCGAGACAGAAATGATCAGATATAAGGACACAGTACACCCTCAGTCAGATGCATACACCACGGTGCTCATATTTTCTCTCACATTCTCTGCTAGAAAGGGAGTCCTGCTAAAAGGGCTCCTCACCTGCCTTGTTTACTGCTGTATCCCCAGCACCTATGCCTAGAACATAGGGTGCTAGATAAACAGCTGTTGAACAAATGAATGGATGGCTGAGGCTGCTGCTGATGATCCCTAGGCATAAGCCTCTGGATGTGCAGTGGAATCCCCTGCAAACTCCAGAAAACCAAATGTCAGGCTCTACGTCAGACAACACCAAGTTTTGTAAAAATTCATCAGGGGATTCTGATACGTAGGAAAGGTGAAGAGCCACCTTCGGTTGTAGTAAATCAAGGGCATGTGAATGCCATCCAAGAAGATCATCGGGGATGACAAGTGCTCCCTAGAAATCCTTTATCATCTTTAACTTCACTACATCTCTTTGCTTTGAAATATCTTTATCCATTTTCTGTAACTCTAAATGAGAGTGACACATCTGAAAGGATTTGGTTAATCCGTAAAAACGGAGGAAAAAAAACTTGGATAACTTTTAGGGCCAAGGGGACAAGAAACAGATTAAAACAAATAAGCAAGCAAGCAAATAAAGAAACAAAAATTCCACATAAGCTGTACATTTCCTGGGGAATTCTGAGTAGATATGCATGGTTTCACTTACGCACACTCCATATACTAAGTCAGTGTTTCTCAACTGGGGACACTTTTGCAACCTTTCCTTTCCAAGGGCATACGGCAATGTCTGGAGACATTTTTGATGGTCATGACTGGGTGAGAGTGAGAGGGTGCTACTGGCATCTAACAGGTATGGCCCAGGGATGCTGCTCAACACTCGAAAGTGTACAGGACAGCCCCCCACGACAAAGAATTACCCGGTCCAAAACGTCAATAGTGCCGAGGCTGAGAAACCCTGTACTAAGCTTATGTGTACATATGCTATGGTCAAAAAAACCAGATCTTCGAACCAAATGATCTCAAATAGGATATATCAAAAGTAAACAAAGAGATATAAAATTCACTTTGTTGTTGATGTCTTTTTTTTTCTTTCTTCTTTTTGCAAAATCCCTAGGCATAGGTTAAGAGAGATAGGATATCTATGTCCGCGGCTTTGAAACTCCGAAGTAGGAGTCGTACTCTTTGGCTGCTGCTGCAATCAATCAAGATATCTAAAGCCGCTCCCTCTGATCTTGAAGGCGGCAAGAACAGGGAGCGCTGTCAGATCTACTGAGGTCATTTGCCACGAATATTTATTCCACTACCCTTTCAGCTGAAGGGTATTAAGATGGTATTCACCATGGGTATGAACGGCAAACATCGGAGGGGTTCTCACAGCCAGACGGGGGGACAGTGATACCGCTGAGACCAGTGGACAATCTTCACACAAGATGGGATTTTGGAGAATAAAAGCCTCACGCAAAATTGACTCCAAGTTGTGACTTTAAAAATCGTCTTTATGATGGGAGTCGGAGCTAGAGAACACCACCAAGAGTGGCCCTTCTCCAAAAAACTGAATCCAAGAAAACCCCAACCTCTTGCAACTCTGAAGGAATGAATGAGGCGAGTTAAAACTAACAGTTGTCTGTTGCAACCAAAGATAATCTAAATCAAGTTGGGGGGAAAGAAAAGGATGAATGATCTATATGTGCATTTTAGATATTATCAGGCTCCCATTCGCACATCTTCTGAGTCTTTCTCAGCTTAAAAACAGTGACTGGTGAACTCTAAATGAGGGATTTACTGGCTCTGAGGAGAAGCCTTACAACGAACTCTGCAAAATGGAAAACATTTATCCAAGTCAGCTCCCCAATCAGGCGCATCTTTATAACTTGTGTAAATTGCTCATTTTTTACCCCAATTCCATTTCATGCAAAGGAGATTTGAGGAAAAGGTTCTGGAAGATAAGAGCTGAGCTCAAAGTGCACCCTGGGCTGGGAGTCAGATGACAAGAGCTGTCGTCTCTCGAGATCTCAGATGCCCCATCTCTAATGTGATGTGGTGGTGGCTGAGCTGGGGGCCCTCCCAGGGCCTCTAACTCTCTATGAATCAACCACTGTTATTGCTGCTTCCCTGCTTGAGAAGTAAAAGGAAACTCATGGACACTCCTCATGGTAGATGCTTCCAACTTCTGTTTTCTTCGGGCAACAAGAAACGCTTTAACTTGGATGTCTTCCAAGTCCCCTAATTCTAATGTCCCCCTTGCTTCTGCAGAGAGGTCTGCATTCATTGCCTATTTTTCTGGAGCTGTGTTTCCAATGAATGCAACACCTTCAGTCTTTTCCTGGATCACTTCAGGGTCCACCCTTCTCCTCTTAGCCAAGACACTGTCACCCCAACACCTCTTTTACCTGCCACCCTGAGTTTTCCTAATGATGAACATTTACCTCTTTAACCAGTTGATGGGAATCCTTCTAGCAGCTGCCTGGGAGCAAATGGAAAGGAATCACGTGGACTGAGGCTGACAGTACAAAAGGGTCTGAAATCCTAGAACTTGAAGACGAGGGCAAGGGTGTCAAGAGACCCAGAACAGGTTATGACTTCTGTCCCATGGGTCGTAACCATTATTTAAGAGGCAGGGAGTTCTGGTTTGGTTCTGTTTGGTTTATTAAACTGTGCAGTAGCTGCTCCTCTAATGGGTTTCTAGAAAAAAATTTTAACTTCTTATAGGTGAATAAGAAACTGTATATTCCTCAGAAGTGGTTTCCCCTTTGCACCTCATTCAGGTATAAATCTACTTACTACATTCTCTGATTTCTTTCCTCCTGGGGCACTTGGGGATGCCATAACTGACAGCCTGGAGCAGCAGAAAGGACTGACAGCCTGGAGGAGAGCGGGGATTTCGTAGAGGGGATTCTGACACTGGGAGGGAGGAGTGAAGGAGATACATGCTGAACCCTTCTAGATCCTGAAATTCTTTGCTTTGAAAACCTCCTGCTTGCTCCTGGCTTCTTCAACCAGTGATACAGCCAAAGCCCACCACCCAAGTGGGAACAGGAAGCTAGTCCTGGGTGCGGGATGGCTTCCACGGGGTGGTAACCGGAATGAGGACTCCTATGAGAGCCCTGAGAACTGGAAGGCCTGGCCACACCGATGTCTCAGAGGGAGGAGGTGCCAAGTACAGAAGCCAGAGATAGAACTAGGCCAGGAGACAGGAGCTAAAGGCCCAGTGGGACAATCCGAGCACCAGAGGGCTGGGCACATCACTGGCAGGAAGCGTTGGGGGACCATTAGGGCATCTATCTTAGTCTATTTTTCCTCTCTCCACGCTGTTAGCTCGTCTTCCCTATCACTTCTCTCCACTTACTGGAAGATCAGCTCCTGCCTAGTCCTCACTCCAGAAGCCACTTTCTCCTCCAGTAAAGGGCACAGGGTTACTGGCAACCCCTGCACAAACTCTCCCACAGCTCCAGCTGTTCTCTTGGTGGCCTGGCCCCCACCAGGCACAGCAATGCTTGTTGGTGCCGACAATTGAATATTTCCACGTGCACAGCATCTTCAATTAGCTCTGTCTTCATCTGGGTAGACGTGCAAAGCCTCTTTTCCAGAAGCAAAGATTCCATCTCAGAGTGACACTGGCAGGTGTGTTAGTGAGAGCAAATATCATACAGAGCCCTGACATCAGTGCTCCAAGGCACACATCGACCACTTGCCCGGCTCTCAATTGTCTTCCTCCGTAACACCCAAGGGATGAAGAATTGGAGGGGATTACTTTGAACACAAGGCTCACTTTGTATGGCAATGTATGTATTATGCTGACTCACAAGAATTTCAAAACAGACCATGGAACCACCGATCTTCCCAGTTCTGACAGTCGACTGTCATCAGATAGACACGTTAGAACTAAACCTTATCGTGTGCTTTCTGTGTAAATGTCTACCATATGGAATCACACACACTGTCTCCTGTAACGCCCTAACATCTCTATGTTCCTATGCCATAAACAATTATTCAGTTGAGATGATCTCATCATTGATAAAGGTTTTTCCTATGCTGAAATCAACTTCCTTATTAGACAGCTGCTCCTCAAATATCTGGAAAGGGAGACTATTGCAACTCTGAAGCCCAAATCTCCATCATCAGGTTCGTTCCACGGCACTCAGATGCTATGCTGTGGGCAATGGTTATGCTCTACATCCAGCACTTCCCTTTGTTACTTCAAGATAAGTCAGAGGGTGTTCTAAGAACCCATCTGCAGTCAGAGGATGTGGGTGGGGTGAGGAGAACAAATTAAAAATAAAATAATTCACCTGTTTACAGCCCATCAAGGAATCAGTTACAGCATCCCCAGAGAGGAGTACCCCAGGAGGCTGAAACCAGAGATGCAGTAGGTAGAGAGTTACGATGGATGAGGTTAGGGTTAGGAAACTTCAGAAGAGTGAGAGCTTGACTCTTTGTGTCTGCACAACGAGGATTTCAGTTCAAGTACACATCGCAGAATTCCCTTACTTTGCTACAACTGACTTGCAAATGAAAGTTTAGGGTGTTCTCTGGAGAGAGGCCTGTCTATCCACCAAGGCCCAGATCTGCTCTCCCTTCCACTGTGCCCTGTGTCTGTGCCAACTGAGGGAGGCCAGCCCGTCAGGGCCAGCTGTGTAGGAGCATTTCTTCTCCTCTGGGAGAGGATGGAGGGCAGGAGAACCAGCGCCTGGTCCACAGCTGTGTGTGAGAAAACTGAGACAACAAAGCTGACCCACGGGGAATAATGCTCTGAGGAGGGGGAGCGTGATCAGAAAGGGCTAACGTGTGTGATACAGATATTCAGATCGCAGCAGGTGACTGCAGCATGGGGCAGGCAGGCTCGCTGACAGGGCCAGGCCTTGCCCATAGGTGGTAGGACACTTAGGCAGAGGGCAAGGCAGAATTACTGAAGGCTTGAGAAATCTTCTACAGTTTTCCTCTAGCTAGCCTGGAGGTCCCCGTCCATCCAGAGCACCTCAAAGCAGGGAAGCTGACCAGGAGTGTGCCAGCGAAGCAGGGACTTCTACATTCCTTTAGCTCCAAAAAAGCAAAAGTCGTGTCAGCACTCTGGCTACCCTGCACCCAGATGAAATGTCACAAGAATTTACTACCAACACTTAGTTACTTAAATCTTGTTTGGGGTATCTTAACAAAAGAACAGAAGGAAACACAGATACAACCAGGCCCCCTCCCTACTCACACACACACACGTACGCACAAGCACACACAGAAATACTATAACCACCCGCTGTACACGATCATGCTTCCATTGCTGAGTGGGTCCTTGGAAAGACGATCTCTTTCTCCCTGAGAGACCTGAGCTTCAGACGCAAAGAGGAAGCAAAGGAGGTGGAAGCACATTTCCCATCAGACACTTGGAGATCCTATCCCTGCTTTAGTCTGTACACACCATCCTAAAGACTCCATATTGCTCTTGGGTGACTGGGATGCGTTCTTCAGTGGGAATGATGTTGAATGCTGTGGGGCCCATTTCCTGGTCTATTCTACCAAAGTGAATCAGGGCTGCTGATTCTCGCAACAGGATTAGTGGTCACTGAGCTCTGTCTGGGCCTCAGTTTTGATTCTTAGCCTTTTATGCTTTCTGGTCTAATCCTCCCTCCACAAAAATACATTAGGAAAAAAAGATAAAAGCAAATCTGTCACTTGGTATTTTTTTTAATCTTTACCCAGTTCTCTGAAACACATGTATTCAGAAACAACCTATGCTATGAAATATATCAATTGAAAAATAAAAACAAAGCACTTATTTTCCTTTATCCTACATGGGAACTTCACCTAACATTTGTCTCACACCTGGCTCTTGGGATGTCCTGCACCTTTTAGGGGTTGCAAAGTAGGTGGATACAATGAGGAGGCTATAATAATATAATTGTCATTAATTCTGTTTTCACTGAATAGTGCATACTCAATTTCATACAAAGAGACACTGGCACCATCCACCCATCGTTGAGAACAAAAAATATTGTTAAACAGTTAATGAGTGACACAGTTAAATATGGAAATATAGATTCAAGATCAGGACTACCAATAAAGGTATCATGGAAACAAAAGGATTAAGTTTTCCACCCAATAAGATTTAAGCATAACATTGTGCTATTGGGAAAGAAATGAGAAGACACCCATCCTGCCCCAATCGTGAAGGAGATACAGACCAGCCGAGAAGGCAACCGTCTCTAAGGGTAGAAGAAGCCTGCATTCTGAGGGCCCGTGGGTAAGGAGGTCAGGAATGATTAGTCTGGGTTTAAAATTTAGTCTAACCATAAAGCAATGAGCTGATCTTCTGATGGGGGAATGGGAAACAGGTTCTGAAGACAATCCCCACAGAAGTTTCCAGAACAGTTTTGGGAACGGCTGCATCCTCGTAACAAGTATTTTGGTTAAAAGGAGTGTACTTTGAAGGATCCCCTTTTTTGGATGAACTTGATTAAAAAAAAAACAACAAAAAATGAGCTCCTTACTTTCCAGCCACACAGCCTATGTGGATAAAATACCTAATATATAAAAATACTAAGTAAGCGTAATGTGGAATAAAGTGGTCCCATGTGCTGGGGCGAGAGCTTGGTCAGGGAGCACGCTTTTAAAGGAGGTGGGTTCAGGCCAAACCTGATTTCCTCTTGCAGATGCAATGTATTCATTCTAGAACTACAAACGCTAAGCCAAATAAAAGTTTTCAGCTTGTGTCTGGGGCATACTTGATTTTGAAAAAATCAACAGGGATGACAATCACCAGATAATATGATTAACAGACCCAGGTAGATTCTAAAGGTAAAACTGACAGAAGGTGACAGTGTGGAGGAGGGAAGGTCTGTTCCTGCTGGGACTGCAGCAAGGACTAAAGCATCTGCAGACAGCTTTGCAGGACAGCCTGGCAAAAGCTGGTGGGTCAGGTTACTTTATGACAACAACTGAGTTCATTCTGTTACCATGAAACGCATACTTCATCTTTCAATAGGAAAAAAAGTTACAGCAAGTATCATACAAGCAAAACCAAACAAAGAACACTGGAAAACAGAAGGAAAAATCTACCACAGCAACTGCCACCATGCCAGCACCTGTGGTTTTCTCTCACCCTTTCAAGATTCTTCCAGGAAGGGTTTCAGTGCATTTTTCACTAAGCCCGAGCCCTGCCTGGGAGCCTTTAGACTCTGCTGTGCCAGAGGTCAGTGTGGCCACCGTACTTTTAGGATAAGGGCTTTGGGAGGGGAGCACAGAGGAAATCAAAAGGAATGTCTATTGTTAAGCATATCCAGTCTTTCCCAGTGCATGTTCTGAAGATAGCCAAAAAGACTGTTTCTGCAGGCTCTTACCACCAAGATGATTAATGACAGGCATTCAGCCCATCCTGCTAGGCCAGGCAGGCACGAGCTGACCCTACTGCCACCAGCCTGCCAACCGCCCCCACCTCCTCCGCAATGATTATTGCTCCAGAGAACAAATATGTGGTGAGGGGAGGTGGGGTGGGAGGAGGTGGGGTGCAGAAGAGAGAGGGAAGGACAAAACGTCTACTCCAGAAATCTGGGCTTTGGCTTGAATTACGATGGAGAGAACATGCTGAGAGCCTAACTCTCCCCTCCTCCACAACACCCCCTGCAACTCGGTATTTATTTCTCACTCTGTTTCTCCTAGGTAAGAAAAAGAACTTGTTTTAAAAAAGTTCTTGCTTTTTAAAAAAAATGTTCTTCACAGAGCCAATCTCACTTAAAATTGAACCCATGTAGTCAATACAGTATTCCCTGAAAGTTACTTTTCATGTAGTCGGCTGTATTCTGCATGCAGACTGATGGTGATGGCAAAAATGGAATGGATGAATTCAGATCCTGGTACATCCCCCTTCTGAGCAACCCTCCTCTGAGAGCACCTACCTGTTGCCTCCAAATCACTTTTTGAATTTGTCATCTGGTGCTGTAATAACCAGGTGAGGGTTCATGGGGTGCTAGCAGCAGAGGGATGGCTGGTCAGGCCTGAATGCACGAAGGCAAGTAGTATATGGAGATGCCAAACGCAAGTCTGTCACGAAGCCTCTGAAAACCTCTATCCACAGTGGTCTCTCCCTTTCCAGACACCCAGAGCTCTTCTTACCTGTAATCTGCTGTGGGTTATCTTCTAATTGTTTCTTGTGCATACACAGGGTTTTCCCAAGGAGGTGACCTCCCTGTCAGTAGGGAGACTCTTAACCCTCTCTATAGTCACCGTGGGAATCTTCTGGAACAGTATCTCACTTCTAACAAGCCTGCCTTATTTGCATTCTGGGAAAAAGGAGGAATTCTTTTTGTCATTGAATTCTTGGTTTGGGAAGGATGCTTGGAAGAAGGAGAAGCAGCTCTAAGAGCCACAGGTGGCCACACCTTCTGACAGAGTGAGTCACAACTTCAGGTATCTGAGTAGAATGAAGAGGAAGAGGAAGAACGTCTTCTTCCTTGTTGAACTGCCATAGAGGGTTAGCAAATTACAAAGATGGTGACCCTACTAGCCTGCCAAGATCTAATCGAGAGCTTGCCTCAATCAAGGGTCTTCTGTTCCTCTGATCAGTTTCTAGGCTCTGCTTCTTCTAGAACCTACCATATGACTCAGCCACAAAGGCCTCCTTGGGGTTTAGTTAGCTCAGGCTTGATATTTCCATATTCCATTGTGGTCTAGCCTGTAACATGGGCTTCAAAGGCAAAAGAAACATTGGTCTTATCAGTCTCCAGAAGGGATTAGGATTATATGTAAACAAACAGGACCTACTTCCGAGGACATACTCCTACAGCATCTAAAGAAGCTCTACTATTATCAAGGTGCTAAGAATTTATTTGGGTAGAGTCTGAGATCCATAACAAATAGAAGAACCACATGGTTAAAATTACTGGTGGCAACAGGCCATCATCTCTACCATTTCCCACTAAAAGAAACCAAGGATTCTTGGAGAAAAGGCTGACTCCGGGTCTGGAGCAAGAAATATACACAATGAGCGCAGATTACTTCGTGATATCAGGAAATGAGGATACTAACAAAGTCTACTGGCTTCATGTCAAAAGGACTCAGGACCCTACTTGAAGGCTCTCCCAATGGCCAAAGATGGGAGAATTTGAGCTCCCATAACTGCATTAAATTGAAACAGATCAAATATACTTAAACCTAATAGCTCATAATGATAATTAAAAAAATACTGAAACTCACTGGTCACCTTTGGGAAGTGCTAGGGAACATTCTTTGAAAATTGATAAAAGAAAGAAGTAAGTGATTTCTCTGCCTTTCCTATGTGAAGTACACCTGAGGTAGCTAAGTGATTGATGAGGAGATGTTTCTCTTTATTCAGGGCAATATGTGAAAAAGGAATGATAAAATTATAACCCCATTTTGCAGCCCCTAATGAATTAATTTATCTAAGCAGTGATCATCAACAGCTACTAATATCACAAAAAGAAACAACCAGATACAATGAATCACCTGATGGAGAAGGTACAACACCCTATTTAGAAGTAATCTCACCCAAAAAAATAGTGTTCAGGCTGAATCTTCTCAAACCTCCAGCGCAGTGGTTCTCAACCAGGGAGTGACCGCAGGACACTTGGCAATGTCTGGAGACATTTTTGATGGCTGCAACTGGTGTGCATGTGTGTGTGTGCATGCGCACACTACTAGCATCTAGCGGGTAGAGACCAGAGATGCTGCTAAACATCCTACCACGCACAGGACAGCCCCCCCAGCATAGAATTATCTGGCTCAAAACATCAAGTGCCGAGGTTGAAAACGCTGCTGTAGATCTAACTGCCAATTTATAGAAAACTCAGGGGACAGAGGAACACGTTAAACGACAACAAAAGATGAATCAGCAAAATCCAGATTGAGGGAAACTCCACAGAACAAACAACCCAAACTCTTCAACAACAGCAGCAGCAAGACAAGAAGATAGAGGTAGAAAGATAATTATGGAAGGGAGCCTATAGATTACAAGAGACTTAAGGGACATATCAATTGATTACCATGTATGAACCTTATTTGGTTCCTGACTCGAAAAACAAATGGTTAAAAAAACCTATAAGCAACTGGGGAAAAGGAAACACTGAGGAATTACTATGGAATTATTATTAAAACTTTTAAGGTGTGTTATTGATATTGTGGCTGTGCTTTTAAAAAAAAAAGAGTTTTCTAGATTTTTGAGATACATGTTGAAATATATACAGAAGAAATTATACGATATCTGGGGATTTGCTCCAAAACCCTCTTTCCTTGAGATGGAAGGAGGTAGGAAGTGAGAGAGGTACAGATGAAACCAACTTGGCCAGGAGTTGATGATTGTTGGGTGAAAGGTAATGGGGGTTTATTGTTTTATTTTTTGCAGTATATTGAAATGTTCTAATAATAAAAAGTTTTAATAGTTAGGAAAAAAACGCTGGCAAAATATACCAGACCAACTGTACCAGATGCAGAATATGGTCTTTATCAACAAAAACAGGGGGGCCGGCCCCATGGCTTAGCGGTTAAGTGTGCACGCTCCGCTACTGGCGGCCCGGGTTCGGATCCTGGGCGCGCACCAATGCACTACTTCTCCGGCCATGCTGAGGCCGTGTCCCACATACAGTAACTAAAAGGATGTGCAACTATGACATACAACTATCTACTGGGGCTTTGGGGGGAAAAAAAAAGGAGGAGGATTGGCAATAGATGTTAGCTCAGAGCCGGTCTACCTCAGCAAAAAGAGGAGGATTAGCATGGATGTTAGCTCAGGGCTGATCTTCCTCACAAAAAAAATAAATAAATAAATCAACAAAAACAGGGCCCATGACATGGAGCTCCAGGTGAGGCTGGGTTCCGAGAAGGCCACTTGGGAAGATGGGCTAGGTCTAGAGTCACTGAAGTTTTATTTCCCCCTTGAACACCAGTTAAACTTGACCTTCCCCTGGTATCATAAGTGTTAAACAGTGGTTAAACCCGATGCTTAAACAGCATGATAAGGCACAGCAGGCCCAATTTAGTTTGTCTCATGGTGCACGCCTGGTTGAGGGTGGGGGAGCGTGTGTTGGGAGGGGAGAGGGGTCAGCACCCTTCTGACCCCTGTAGGCAATTAACTTATACTTCCAAGCAGGAGGTGCCATTATCTTTAACTCAGCAGGCACAACAGTACATAATTAGAGATCATAATTACGGTTCTCTTTTTAAAATGTGACCACAGTATCTAAATTGACCTCTTGTGGCAGTGTTGCCTACATGCTGGGAAGTACATAAAAGGTGGGGACAGGCCCTAGCCATCCGCGTCACAGTGATGGGCCGTACTAACCCCATGGGTTACAGTCCCCGCACAGTTTCTGAGGTCGGGTGTCTGTGCTTACTCCCTGCGGAACTTTGATCTGTTTGGGGTTTACTAATTATCATTTTTCAGTGAGAAACATTTTACTTCTTTAAAGAGACATGGACTAGCCAGAGCTTTCCCCTGTCTTTTTGACCACGGCAAAAAGGCAAAAGCGACTACTCACATTAATATGCCAGTAATTATGTGCACCTACTGTCTAATTATCCATATGATGACAAAGTTGAAGAGATCAATTCCTGATCATTTTTCCACTTCCGTGTTTTGTAAAGTTGCTACAGAGACTCTATTTCACTTTAAAAATTCTGATTTATTATTTTATTACACCTTATAAGCGGCCCCACCTAGCAATATTTCTAGCTTATCTAGCCCAAATCAATATACAGAACGAACTGTTTTGTGGGGAAATAAAACCTAACTGGATTTTCGCATAGAGAGATTTCTTTCAGTTCTAAACATAGAATAATAGAATTTTTGAGCTAAGCGAGACCCTCTGAAATCATCTTACAGGTGAAATTTCTGAGGCGGGTCCAGATAGAGGGGAAGCAAACGGGATGGCAGAAAATCATGAGACGAGGAACTCACAGAAACATTTTATGACCAATTTGTGGTTAGCGTTTTGTTTGGTGGCCATGTTAATTCCAGTTCCTGCTCCCAACACAAAGACTAAGCAGCTAATCTGTGTCTCTCATATCCCTTTATTTAGGAGCATCTGCGTCTTCACCTTTTACCAGTAGCCATTAAATAACCCTGACAAACAGCCAACTTCTTTCCAACAGTATTTTAAATCCTCAGCCAGCGCTTGAAAACTTGGAAAGAGAGATGTTATAACACCAGCTAATCTCTTCCTGGCTGAAAAAAATGACTGAAAATTCCAAAGTTTGATACAAGTAGTTTCAAATGGGTAAGACAACGTCAAGTCACAGCATTTACACAGCAGTGTGACAATTCCCACTTGGAGGCATGAGCTTTGGAAAAATGGCCCTGAGAAATACAGTATTTTACCAATATACTTTTCTTGAATAGAACCGTCTGGGAGTGAATTGATGGTTCTCTATACTTGTGAAAGCTCCTCTATTCAGAAAAGAAAAACTTAACTACTATTCAGAGGTGTCCAAAACTAGAGTTTAAATAAAAGAATAATTGCCTTACTGCTTTTATAGGCATGTCACTACTAAGAAATACTACTTTCCTACTATTTTCTTTTGGTTTAGTACAAGAAGTCAAGGGAAGAAGACTAAACACATCACAACAAAGGTATTTAATTGAGACCAGTTCATTTGCATCTCAATGTAAAGTCACTGCATGATACACCAATGCAAATGCATTGATAAAGTTCATTCTACCACTGCGATGAATAAGGGGGAATGCTTCAGTGGTAAATTCTTCAAGTTTACATTATTTATCAGAACATTTCATGTAGTTATTTGTCCCACAAACTCCAATTCCGTGCTTTGCAAGGATTTTGCAAAATACATTCCTGTATGTCACAGTTTCAGAACCGTGGCTTGACACAGCACCTAGCATAGTGTTGTCATTCAAACACCCTATTCAAAGAAAAGGCTTGCTTCCCTAGAGCTTTGCTTTACTGGTCAGTAAATCAGCGCCCACCATATTTATCCCTAAGTGCTATTTGCTGCCGTAATTTACACAAACAAGCCACAAATTCAACACCATCATTTCCTATTTCAACTAAACTTTGGTTCTAGACTGCAGACTTCATTTAGCTATTTGTTGGCCTTGGCATATGGGCAGCCTCAGCACCTGGTGACGAAAAGGGTTAAAAACAGGGGCGCTGTTAGGTCAGCCCCTTCCCTTGGTGGTTCATCAGACTGAGCACGTTTAAAAGAAAAACATTCCTTCTACATCGTAAAATCCTGGCATCTGCTCAGTAGCAAATCCTGCTCCCTCTGTTTAGCTTCATTTTATTCTCAAAAGAAACTATACTGTTCGGACTACAAAACACAATTAATTTTTACATTTCTTCACACTCTCTAGCTGCCTATTTTCTCCATCTAAGCACTTTGCAAAAAACCAAAAACCCAAACAGAATAGCTAATGAATCCAAAGTGGATTTAATTTTATTGATTCCATTTCACACAAAAATGTTAATTTATCCGATTCTTTTCTTTATTTCATTACCTTTCATCTGGAATATACCGTGTCCCACCAAGCCAGCCGAATCATTCTACATGTTTCTCTCTCTGCAGTTTTCAGTGTTGGAAGGAGGAGAGCCCAAACTCGAAGCAATTTTGGAGATTAAGGTTCCCAGGTAAATTTATTTTTATCACAATCTTCATGTTCCAAAGTGGCCAAGTCATCTTGGTCATGTTTATTAACTAAAGGTAATAGGAAAGATCCTAATCAGAGCTTCAATGTACGCAACGGCACAAACCAATTCTCTCTCTGCGAGTGTGGACAGATGGTTCTCAACTCCAACCTCTGCATCTCATTAGTGCCCTGGGATCTGATGGGCAGCACCTCGGCTTCTTGATGACCACCCAAACAAAAGCAGTTTGTGAGGAAGGAAAGAGCTGCTCACACTGAAGACAGAGCAGGAAACCATCCAGAAGGAGGGGCAAGGGTAGGTGGTCAGTCCATAGGAAGACTTACACGGAACCTGCAGAAAATGCACGCAAACACCGGGATTCTGTGCACGTTTCTGGAGAGGGTCCACAGCTTTTATCCAGCTCTCTCAGGGGTGGACTATCCAGGCAAGGGTAACAATCACTGGCTTTACACTCACTCATCAGAGATCGAGTCTCACCCTGGAGTGCATCATTACAACAGGACTAAACGCCCTCCCCTTGCTGAAAGGAAGCAATATGATTCTTTGGTCTGGAATGATCTCGAAATCTTTGCAACGCTGAGAAAGACGCATTCTGTTCAGAATTGAATGTTTGTGTCCCTTCAAAATTCATATGTTGAAGTCCTAACTCCCACTGTGATGGTATTTGGAAATAGGGCTTGGAGGAGGGAATGAGAGGTAGATTAGGCCATGAGGGTGAGGCCCTCATGATAGGATTAGTAGCCTTACAAGAATAGGAAGAGGGAGAGAAATCTCCCTGCTGCTGGCTCTCTCTCCCTGTGAGCACAGAGGAAAGGCCATGGGAGGACAGGGGGAGAAGGTGGCCATCTGCAAGCCAGCAAGCAAGCTCTCATTAGAAACCAAACTCTACTGGACCTTGATCTTAGACTTTCCAGCCTCCAGACTGAGAAAATAAATCTCTGTTTGTTTGTTTGCTTGTTTGTTTATTTATTTATTTATTTATTTTGTGAGGAAGAGCAGCCCTGAGCTAACATCGGCCAATCCTCCTCTTTTTGCTGAGGAAGACTGGCCCTGAGCGAACATCCATGCCTGTCTTCCTCCACTTTATATGGGACGCTACCAGAGTATGGCTTGCCAAGCGGTGTGTCGGTGCGCGCCCAGGATCCAAACGGTGAACCCTGAGGCTGCTGCAGCGAAGCACGCACACTTAACTGCTTGCGCCACTGGGCCAGCCCCTAAATTTCTGTTATTTAAACCACCCAATCCGTGGTATTTTGTTATGGCAGCCAGAGCAGACTAAGACATATTCCTTGGGGGGTGTTGTATTATTAGAATTCAACAATTCACAAAGATTGTGTGTGGTGGACACTGTGGATTGCTCAGCCAATATTCCTTTAGCCTTCTGGATGGAGAGGCTAGGAAGCTAAAA